TATGCCGGAAATAGACGTAGACTACATGTCCAAACGGCCTTCCACTCCAGCTAAGATCTCACACACTGACCTCCTTGCCTAGGCAAGCCTCGGCGATCTCCTTCAGCTTGACCAGCACCATGGCGGAGATTCCTCAGGCGCGAACTGCTTCTTCTCGCCCGTAAAAGACACTCAATCATGGGCTTGCCACCGGGGCCCTCGGCAACGTCGAAGGGCCGGTGCTTCATATCGGAGGCCTCGGTCGGGTCGGCGAACTTGCGGCCTATCAGTCGCTTGGCGTCGAAGATGGTGTTGCTGGCGTCCATTGCCACCAGGTTCTTGGAGGCTTCGCTGATCAGGCGCAATGTCTCAGTGAAGGTCACGTAGGATGAAGTTGTGCGGTTGCCCTGGTCGTTGGGATTATCTCCACGCGGTCGTTCTGCCACACACCTACACAGGAGAAACTCGTGCCCAGGTCGATGCCGATGCTTTCTCCCTCAGTTTCTGTCATGCCACAAGAGGAACTAAGGACCCCACCCTTGGCCAAAACTGGAGGTTCTCACGTGCGGGCACTATCTGTAGGGGCAAAAACGATAGGTTTGATCCACAAGATGACCATGAGCTTTCATCACATGTTCAATTGTCTGTACCCATTCTAGGCAGTCGGAGAGAGAAAAAACACAGAGAACAAGAGAAAGAGAGAGAGACAGAGAAAGAGAGAGAGAGAGAGAGAGAGAGAGAGAGAGAGAGAGAGAGAGAGAGACGCGACGAAGTATTCGTTTAGCATCCAAAGCCAAACCGTTAGACACAGCCACCGTTGACCTGATCTTTTGGTGTGCTTTTTCTGTTGCAACGCAAACCTCGGTCGATTGATGTCTGACTTGCTCTACTATGTTGATTTTCGGTCGCGCCGCCCAGCAGCGCGGCTGACGTGGCATATTGGCCTGGTTTCAGTTGCTAAGCACACCTCTTGATGTGGTCTACTGGTCTGCAGCCTCTTTGGGTTGATTTCGAGTGCAAAGCCCACCTCCTGGCATGGTCGGAAGGTTCGATTTTCGGTGGCCTTATCCCACCTCCGTCGAAGTAGGTTCGCCTGACCTGGTCTATTGGTTTGGTTTTCGGTTGCACTGTAACCCCACCTTTTCGGGTGCTAAACTCACTTCTTCATCTGGACTATTGGTCTGCTGCTTCTGGCTTGATTTTCGGTTGCCGAGCCCACCTCCTGATCTGGTCTAACGGTATGAATTTCGGTTGCTCAAAACCCACCTCCGTCGAGTGTCATCAGCGTCGGCGATCCCATTCTCGGTGACGTAAATCGGGTGCCCTATCACGCTCATGGCCTTGAGGGCGCAGTAGAGCCCCTCCGGGTATATGCAGTGTGGCATGTCGGTCATGGTCTCGGCGGGAAGGGCTCTTAGCTTCTCCTCCATGTCCGGCTCGAAGATCACGCTCCACAGGGAGGCGTAGTAGTGGCTGAGATTGTTGGGTTCGGTGCATAGACGGGGCGTGTTGTTGTTGTTGTTGTTGTTGTTGTTGTTGTTGTTGTTGTTGTTGTTGTTGTTGTTGTTGTTGTTGATGATGTTTATGTTGTTTTTGCTTTTGGGGCGCCGTGTCGCTGAACAAGGCGTTGTGCTCTGCAAGGGCTAGAGTGGTTTGCCTCGAACACCCACGGCAATACCACCCTTGAAGGCGTGCGTACGATACGATACGACAAGATACGATACGATACGATACACCAAACGCACGAGAGGCGACCCTCGAAGATACAAAGAGGCGTCAAGGATGAAGGTGTTTGAGATACCCAGAGGAGGAAGGACCGATGGCGTGTGCCATGGCAACAAATATACCAACATATGGGAAATTATCATGTAACACAAGTGGTGTGACAGTCAACGAGGCGCCCATGGCATCACCGTGGCGAAACGCTCAAAGAAAAAAATTCGACCCACGGGGATATACCGTGTGGTGACGCCCCACCATGTTGTCGACGCAAGCGTCATTTAACTCTTCTTCCCCGGCTTTTTGGACGATGACGCATCGAAGAGATAGATTCGGAGAGCGTATCGCTCAAAGAGGAAGACATCTTCTCGGCTGAGCAAACTCCGCGCACCGCCCCCCCCGGTGTTTGCCATCGGGATTGGGTTTTCGTCGCTTGGCAACGACGTTGTAAAACAAGCCAATTCACTTCGTGAACTCGGCAACCAGGTTACCGGTTTTTTTTTTACCTCCGGTTTTTTTTTTGGCGGTAACCATAATGGTGGCCGAGTAGATCATGTTGTGCGGGGT